TCCGCGTCCTTTTAAGACGATACATCCGACAAAAGGTAAAAGGAGGTTTTGAAAAAAAATTCATTTAGAACCACCTTTAATTTGCTGGTGTTAAACCATTAACCCCTATTAGGCATGGCAGCATCTGTTAGGGACGCAGCTATGGGCAAAAGTTTGTAAACGCCCCCCCAAACTGGGGCCAAACCGCTATGAAGTTATTAAAATTAGGTTTTAATAATATACAATGTTTTTTTAAAAAAAATTGACATTAAATGAACTTTTAAAATGGAGAACGGCCGGATGGCATTACCATTTCCTTATAAAATGGGGAAGTCGTTGATTTGAGATGCGACCTGTGCGGATATATTTAGACCGGTAATTTGATCAAGGTTTTAATAGTTGAGTCAGGGTCCGTCGCCCGGGACTCAGAGAAAAAAAAAAAAAACCAATTTTTAAATATTCTTCTCTTGCTGATAGATTTTTTTTACTACTCCTGTGAATTATTGGAGAACTTCAGGAGTTATTGGCCTTCGTTCGATGGCGTTCCTTCAATGTTACAATTGGCGCGATTGCGTCTCGATTTTTGGACGGGCCTCCCAAATTTTTATTTTTTTAATCTTCCAAGCGTTTCACACTGACGATGGTTCATTTCAAATAACTTTCTCCATCATTGCGGCTATAAGAGGATAGCAAAAAAAAAATAACTGTTTATAGTTACTTTGTTTAAACTATTTTTCAGTAAATAAATTTCTCTATATGAAAATTCAGTATTAAAATCACAGAGGAAGAAATTAATTATTACCGGCAATACATTTTTGAAAAAAAAATATTACTAGCAATAAAAATCTTAGCATTAAATAACCCATTGAGGCTGATATGCCGTAAAACAAATCAAAACCAAAGTTGGACATTTATTTAAGTATTATCCATTTTGATTAATACAATGACTATTTATGATAATGATTGTCATTTGTATGTTGTTACTAACACCGTTTTCTCATCGTATATTTCTTAGAATAATGTTTTCATGTTCAAATTTTATATTGCTAATCGCCAACAACTAAATATCTCTAAAGTTGGAATATCTTCCTCATTATCTTACTAGGATCATTACGACTACTTCTTTCTTTCTTCTAATACCAATAATAAACATATTTTAGAAAGTTTTTTTCTTCGCCTATTTAACCTTCAGATATTTTTACTGACTGTCTTCGTGTCTTCCATCCATCTGATGTCAGATATGGGCCATATAAACATGATTGATTGTATATTTGTAATCTCGTTTTAGTTAAGAATGGACACAAGAGTATGGGTCAAGGCTTATCAACTCATGTGTCTTTGTAGTCGATTATTTGATGCTGTCAAAGAATGTGATAATGCCGCTTAGAATGAACTCCGGGGATAAATATTAAAGGCAGATATGAAAAGACCTTAACGTTTATTTTAACTGGAAGAAGGAGAATTTGCAAATGTGAATATGAGAAGGTCTTATCATCCATCAGTCGGTGTTCCATTTAATAATTTATTAAATAAGAGAGGAAAAGAAAGGTGGATAGGCAGAAATGGTTTGGGGCTTGAGAAGATGGAAATAATTGATTTAGGCCAGAATATTTGCAAGTCAAATCATTTTACTCTTTTGAATATTTCAAATATTAGCATAGTATCCGTAAAAAATGATGAGATTAATTACGTATGGAATTTCACTTTTCCCTTGATTCAAAGTATATATGTGACCTTTCGAGGTGTAGTGTAGTATCTGTACGTCCTGCCTGACTTAGTATTTGCAGTTTTATTGAACTGTTCAAGCAGAAGAACATTGGCATAATCGATATGTTATTTTTTTTTTTAAGCGTTTCACCCCAAGCAAGGCGGGAAGCCACTAGCACGCAAGGGGTTACAGAGAGTTGGAGCGAGAGCAAATAGGAGTGATAGAGGAAAGGATGAAGAGAAGGATAGGGGATAGATCAAGGCATCTGGAGACGTCGATTGACATTACATTTGAATAGTTGGAGATTATAGCTATCAGGGAAACAGGAAAAGGGGAGGGAGTTCCACAGGCGAGAAGTGCGAGACATGAAGCTATTGGAGTAGAAGAGACGGCTACATTTAACAGTTTCGACAGTGAAAGGGTGAGAGCGAGATGCCAGCCTAGTTGAACGCTTAAATTCATGAAGTCTGGGAACCAGCGAAAGCAGCTCATCGGAGCATTTACCGTGAAAGTATTTGTAAAAAAGACAGAGGGAGGCGACGGCACGTCTGTGAGAGAGCGACTACAGACGAGATGCCAGATCAAGGCTAATTACATTGCATATCCGTCTCTGGATTATATCAAGGACCTTGAGACAAACAGAAGGGGCTCCAGACCATATATGGCAGCAATACTCCATGCAAGGGCGAATGGTTGATTTGTAGATTTGAAGGATCGACTCCGGCGAGAAAAATTTCCTGGCGCGGTACAGGGAGCCAACTTTCCTTGCGGTGGACTCAATGTATTTGTTCCATCTCAGGTGAGCAGACAATGTGAGACCGAACAGTCGCAAAGAGGTGCTCTCGTGGAGTTGAGCATCAGACATTCTAATGCGAGGCAGTGATGGTTCTCTCTGCTGAGTAATAGAGAGCAGTTTTGTTTTTTGAGGCATTAAAGTTAACCAGCCAATTGCTGCCCCAGTCCACAACCGATTGGAGGCCCTTTTTGAGACAAACGGCCAGGTTTGTTTTGTCAGCAACACTAGATTTGTGTGATTGTCTCTAACTCCGGGCAGGATTCACTTTCGACGGACAAATATTGAAAGTAGAGAAATACATAGATTATGTAGAATTTGTTTATTTTTATTTTATTTTTCTTCTGTGATTTCTTTCAGCTTTGTTTTTTTTCATTTCTGTTTAACTAAGTCATTGCCACTTCGCAAGTTATTTTATTATTAATATTATATATATTAATATTAAAACCTTTTGACAGTCGATGTATAAAATGCGTAGCTCACCATTTGAAGCATCAATCATCTTCAGTATCTGTTTATATTTTTGAATACAGGTATTCTGAACACTTTTATTTACATTATTCAGACTATTGTTCTCATCTTTGTTGCCATATTTATTACAACGTTTCGGCCGTTGTACGCTCAAAAATTCTTCAGGTGGTTGGAATGTCGAACTGAATTTTTATTTCGCTCACAATGGGGATTTTATTAGAAAGTCCCAGGTGCCATGTTTAAAAATTGTCAGCTATCAGTTATCTCCTGTTAAAATGGAAAGAAAAAATGTTGCCTTAACCGGGTATTGAACTAATCATTTGAATGTCTTTCATCAAACTAACGCCTTTATCCACTGTGCCAAGGACATTTATTTATTCATACTTTTGATGTTTTTCATTTCTCGGTATTATAAACCAAAATGTCTTCAGCATCATTTTTTACCAGTGCTCATATTGCAATTTTTGATTTGTTATCATTTTAATGTTTTTACCATTTTATATTTTGCTTCTAATGGTATATATTTTTTGGGATGTTTATTACGTGGCTCGTGGAAAACAAAATCCGTTGGGTTAGGTAATTCAGATGAGTTACACCACGGAATTTGTGAATTTGGCGCTATATCGAGTTGAGACATTGTTGCAATACAGTTTTATGATTTAAATTTGCGTCGTATTCGTAACGGTCCGGGTACGGATTCTCGTCGCCAACTTTTTCTGCATTTTGTTGGGGATTCTTCTTAAAACCCGATGAATTACTTAATTATGATTATGAAAAAATAATAATTTCTTTATTTATACAACCAGACACACACACAAACACACATAAAATAAACATATATATATATATATATATATATATATATATAGTAATAGGAGGATTTGATAATTATATTTAATTCATTCATCGAGTCTGATAGAAACCGCAACAGAATGCAGAAAGCACTGGACGGCCGTTTCGTCCTATATTTGGGACTCATTAGCAGTACCGAGAAATGAAACCCTGACAGTTATCAAGCACCCATCATACCAACTGTCCCAACGGGCCTCAGTGACGAAGAGATTGCAAATCAGACTTAATATAACGCCGCTCGCTCACATATTCCGTGATGGAACTCTAATGAGTTCTCTGTAACCATAGGATTATGCCCCAGGATCCATTTACCATCACCAAGAAAATTGTGCAATACTTTTTAGAGCATTAAATTGCTTCAAGCAATGATATACACAGATAGTAATAGATGAATGAATTATATATATATATATATATATATATATATATATATATATATATATATATATATATATATTATTATAAAAGTTCTGACATGAAAAAGAAAAAGAATAAATAGACAATTTAAAATCCACATCTCAAAATGAATGTCTTTTTTTAATGTCTTTGTTTCCTTTTTTGTAAAGTAATTATTTATTAATAAACTTAAGCATAATTATCTACATGCGTATATGTTTGCGCACAAGAATCTCAAAGCGTTTTGCAAAAGTTTAGCTTATATCTCTCGGTGAAATTATGCACTTATTGCATTTGTGTACATAGCTCTCATTCTTTGCGTTTCAAAAATTATTTTTTACACTTGCGTGCATCAATGATCACGGTCGGGGGACAAGGGCTTTTAAAAGATGTAAATGTCAAAATAATTTTATTTTACGCATTATTTACTTTTTTCTTTTCGTCCATTTCATTCCAAATTATTTTCTTTCGCCATGCGCCCATGCACGTTCCATAACTGCTCGTATCTTTCACTTCCCGACCGACCCAATCTCTGCCTGCACATAAGCACGGGTATAAACAAGTATTTATCCATAACGCAACAAATAACAAAGGTAAAAAAAAAAAAAGAACGTCGCGGCTGGACTGAAATTCCGGTATGAAATCTCGCACCAAAACCCAAACCTTTTGCTAGAAACACAGTAAGCAGTGAGAAGCAATACCAATTCAGCGTCCTCCCTTTTAACAATAAACCGGTAAGGGAGACCAAGCCCCGCTTTATTGGGGGTATATTGATTCTTCGATCTGACGCTGTGTTTAGTGATGCATTCCAAAATGTACGAATCTCTTTGCACTGAGTCACTGCCTCCCCCACAACTCCTGCTGGTAATCAGGGATCGAAACGGTCATGGCTCGTTTCCCTCCGCGGGGTTCCAATTCAGCCTCATTTCCTCTTCATTCCATTACATAGCCGGACAAAAGCAGCCGGGAGACGTGTGGCCGGAAGTTGAATATCCGTAATTGCCCGGATGTTCCTCTACTTCCTTGTTCGGCCGCATCCGCTTCGAATATTTCGAAACATATATTTGCCGGCCCCTTGGCCGCTGATTCTATGCACGACGCTAAAATTACACTTATTATATTGACCGGGATTTCTGATTTTTCACTACACGCCCATTGCCACACATCCCCAGGCGAATGTATTTCTTTAAAACCATGCATTTGCAGTGAAACACCAATGCAAGCAGCACCATTCATAGTTAACACACTTCTCACCGACACATACATACAGATTTATATATACGTGCGCGTTCATAAAACTGAAAGATGAAATTTAGTTTCTGACGATAGACATCAGCGTTCAAATCCAAGTAATGAGCAGATTTCAAGGGTTAGGGTTCATGGTTGATTAAACTTCATCTTGTTTTAAAATATTGACGGAACACAATCTACAGAAAAAGCGAATAACGTGAAAGTATAATTGATTATTGTTGAACGCAAGCTGATTGTAGTTGTTGTGAAAGCAGATATGATATCAATGGATGTTGTATTAACTAATCCGATGATGCACCTCATATACCCGCAAACTGCATTGCATATATATTAAGAATATACATTCTAAAACATAAATACCTATATAGAGAGATAGATATAATTATAATTCTGCTAATTTATCTCTTAGCACAACCATTACGCCCTATAAATAATGGACTATAGAGGGTAGACTTAAAAACATTAGTGAAGCTACTTGGCTTCAGTGTGAAAAAAGAAAGAAAGATTTAAGTATCTGTCTATATTTCTGAGATGAGGTATTATGTACACTATTTACATTATTCAGACTTTTGGCCTCATACATGTTGCCATAGTTATTACAAAGTTTCGGCCCTTCAGTATCTGTCTATATTTCTGAGATAAGGTATTATGTACACTATTTACATTATTCAGACTATTGGCTTCATATTATTGCCATAGTTATTACACAAGACATGGAAGCCCTTCAGTATCTGTATATATTTATATATATATATATATACACTATTTACATTATTCAGACTATTGGCTTCATTTGATTGCCATAGTTATTACAAAGTTTATGGCCCTTCAGTATCTGTCTATATTTCTGAGATGAGGTATTATGTACACTATTTACATTATTCAGACTTTTGGCCATTTTTTTGCCATAGTTATTACAAAGTTTCAATGTTTCAGTATCTGTCTATATTTCTGAGATGAGGTATTATGTACACTATTTACATTATTCAGACTTTTGGCCTCATACATGTTGCCATAGTTATTACAAAGTTTCGGCCCTTCAGTATCTGTCTATATTTCTGAGATGAGGTATTATGTACACTATTTACATTATTCAGACTATTGGCTTCATACTTGTTGCCATAGTTATTACAAAGTTTCGGCCCTTCAGTATCTGTCTATATTTCTGAGATGAGGTATTATGTACACTATTTACATTATTCAGACTATTGTCCTTCATATTTGTTGCCATATTTATTACAAAGTTTCGGCCCTTCAGTATCTGTCTATATTTCTGAGATGAGGTATTATGTACACTATTTACATTATTCAGACTTTTGGCCTCATACTTGTTGCCATAGTTATTACAAAGTTTCGGCCCTTCAGTATCTGTCTATATTTCTGAGATGAGGTATTATGTACACTATTTACATTATTCAGACTATTGGCCTCATACTTGTTGCCATAGTTATTACAAAGTTTCGGCCCTTCAGTATTTGTCTATAGTTCTGAGATGAGGTATTATGTACACTATTTACATTGTCTTACATATACGGCCTCCTGTTCTATCGATATATAAAATAGATACTTATAATCTAAAGTGTTATTTAGTTTTAATGTTTTATTTAAGGTAGTAATTTGAATGAAATATCCTGAATTTTGAAGTATCCAATTAATATCTACGTGACGATTTTTATTTTTTTCAAAATGGTTCGTTAGGCTGATTGGATGAATAAAGAGAAGTTCAAGATGTTTGATAATTTCAGAGCTTGCAAGCAATACAAAAATACTGTAGATCAAAAATATTCAGTAGATGCCATCAAACAATGAAGAAACTCGCTGTACGTCTTGCATGACTTCAATGTAGATATGTTAAGGGCAAATTACGGACTATATCTCGCCGATCTATATTGCATATAAAGAATGAAATTATTTTTTTAAATTCAAGATGCCGGGTTTTAAATAAAACGGCAAAATATGTTAGACCGATCACTAGGCCGCCTATGACATGTGTAATTGAATGAATACATAAAGATTTTTAACCGTTCGTTTTTCCCCGACGACTACTGTGCTCCTTTTTTTCAATGGGTTAGGCATATGTAGTAAAAGCTAGGATGCTACAAACCGAAAACCCTATCAAAAGCTGAGACATGAACAAAGCAGAGGTGGTATGATGTTTTCGGGCGGAATTATAGCTTAGATGTGGCACAAGGCCGAAAGTATGGGGCACCCAGTGAGGATCGAACTCACTACTCAGTCGTAATTGTTCTAGCGAGACAAGCTTGCTAACAATTTCACCACACCAAGGTGCCTTTCGGGTCGAATTATATGTGTAGATCTGGTGAGTGTAAATTTTAAATTCATTTTTCGTTTCACCTTTTGAAATTGAAATCTGAAGATCCAGAGAAAAATAAAATTCTCTGGTGAAATAAATTATTACAAATGGAGCCTTTAAGTGGTTTCTTTTTCTTTAAATTAAATTATTCGCTCTGACTTAAGATTGAGCTCTCAGGATTTTATCCTCCTTGGGATTATCCATACGGATTACCAAGATTTTCGTTACTTATATATATAAGGTCTACAGTATATTTTATATAGTAATGTGTAAAACACATTAATAAAAATAAACTGTTTTTGAAAGTTGTTTTTTTTTAAGTTTTTATTAATAATGGGAATCCAACGAGTGAGCAAAGAAGATATTTAGCTGTATCAAGTAAATATCTTCTTTGCGTTGTAGTTATTGGTTCGAATTTCGTGATATCATTTGCGGCTGCGTGCCATTGGAAATTATTTGGCGTGCCACGTGTGCCACGCGTGCTGCAGGTTGCCGACCCCTGGTATAGACTATTGTCTAATCTCCAGATCATATTAATGCAACCATGTTTCATCAACATTATGAGAAGAAAAACTATCACTAGACCAATGAAAATGCTGTCAAATCAGAGGTATTTATTCGATATTGTTTCTGGTTGGCATCCAAACCTTTGGGCACCAACATGGCTGACAGCGACTAAACTATAAGCCATAAACCCAGCGACTTTCCTGGATATCACTGGTGTCTCAGCGATTTGAGATTCGTTGATCAGCCAAAATTCGGAGTTATGTCAGCTTATTAACCACCACAGTTGAATTTATCTCTTTGCAAATTTATACTTCTTTATGTTAGCATCATTTTGTAAACATTGTGTTAAAAGATAGTTTGTTCTCTCTCTCTCTCTCTCTCTCTCTCTCTCTGTGTGTGTGTGTGTGTGTGTGTGTGTTTATAAAACAGTTGAAACCTAACCTGAACAAAATAAACTATGAAAACTCCACAAATATACTCAAATGCTTATAATTGATAACAGAAGCCATTGGTTTATTTTAAAGGTAATTCATCTACTGTAATGTTTAATTACAAATTGAACTCTCTCTCTCTCTCTCTCCTTTCTTAATCGCTGTCTTCTCCTTTCTTTTTTTTCTCTCAATCTTCTTTTCGTTTGTGTGTGTGTGTTTTTTTGGGTTTTTTTTTTTTTGTCATCTAAATGAATAAATGCGATATTGAAGATCAATTCTCGCAGTTCAAAAGGTCCCAACTCTACTTTATAGCAGGTATTTACCTGACCCCACCACGGAGTCAGGTTGTGACACAATGTTGGTTTAATATGGGGGAATTTGAGCACGTACCTCGGGCTAAGGTTAAAAAATCCTCAATGTCAAAATGAGAGGGTGCAGCCTCGGGCATCTTAATCCCAGGATGCCTGTTGAAAAGATATGTGCCATTGATACAAGGCTTTGACTTCAAAAAATTTTTTTTCTCGCAGTAAGTTGCCATTTCTTTCTGCGGTAGACCAGTTGCCATCGAAGGCTATAGAACCCGATCTGTCCTGCTATTTACCCATAGCTGGGGGGATTTATACCTTTCCCAAAGGTATTAGCACGTAAGTGAATGTAATGGAATTAGAACTCGGCTCTCCGATTCCTCCATCCGATCCGCTATCCATTAGTCCACCGTGCCTGGGCACCTTACACTGTGATTTTCCTCAGTTGCACCTCTGTCCTTTGATGGTGCCCTAAATGAGTCGCACTCTGCCCGAAAACAAAGACGCAACTGGGAGACAATAAAACAATTGTGTGAACTCTACGTTATATATTATCTACTTGCAGACGATATCACTTTTCAGGTTTAACTAATTTGCATATTGATTTTAAAAAAAGTATATTTCATTAATTAACTGTCCTTCATTACAATTCTTTTATTCAAGGATTTTTTGATTTTCATATCAGAAATAGTTCTGTTTAGAAACATTGTTTTATATAGTGCAGAAAAGTGTTTGGAATTTGCATTTTAATTGGCCTTCCACAAGCTGGCATCTATTTGTAAACCTTTCTTTACCTATAACAAGCCTGCCTCCTCACCCCCCACACACACCCGATATATATAATGTACATTCACAACCTCTTCAATATTTCATAAATAGTGAAAATTAATCCCATAGAAAAATAACTTATCTATCTATCTATCTTAGTCTGTTCATATCTATCTCAATCTGTTCAAAATATCTATCTATTCTATCTATCTATCTAAAACATCTATCTATCTATCTATCTATCTATCTATCTATATTGTTCATATCTATCTTCATATATCTATCTATCTATCTCAATCTGTTTATCTATCTATCTATCTATCTATCTATCTATCTAAATCAATCTCAATCTATCTATCTATCTAATAAATCTATCTATCTATCTATCTATCTATCTTTTAAGTCTGTTCATTATCTATCTATCTATCTATCTCTCTATCTCAATTTTTTCATCTATCTATCTCTCTATCTATCTATCTATATATATATATATATATATATATATATCAGTCTGTCTGTTCATATCTATCTATCTGTTGAACTGTTCATATCTATCTATCTATCTATCTATCTATCTATCTATCTATCTATCTATCTATGTCAGTCTGTTCATATCTATCTATCTATCTATGTCAGTCTGTTCATATCTATCTATCTATCTATCTATGCACTATATCAGATTGTATTATAGAGATCTGTTTTCATAATAAAATTGGTATTAACAAATCGGTCTTGGTAAAATTTTCAGGATATATTTATATAATATTTGTGCTTATTAAAAATATTGATAATAACTTAGTTTGGTTATGTAAGGTATGATTACGCAAACACAATAAACATGATAAACATGATATATATATATATATTTTATTTATGAATCCCAAAAGTATCAGAATCATATATTTTATTAATAGAATATCTCATATACCAGAATAAATTTTGTTATTCTTATTATTTTATTAATGTGGACTTCGTAATATTGTATAACTTTCAGTCGGCTTTCAATCATAGAGTTTAATAAATGTTCTACTGTTTCAAATTTAACATTACTTGTTATTTTATTAACATTACATATTTTTTTGCTCCACATATATAATTTTTATTGGATTATTGTTTTCCATCTTTATATATATATATATATATATATATATATATATATATATATATATATATAGAGAGAGAGAGAGAGAAATAGATAGATAGATAGATAGATAGATAGATAAAAAACAGACTGAGATAGATAGATAGATAAATAGATAGATAGATAGATAGATAGATAGATAGATAGATAGATAGATAGAAACAGACTGAGATTCTTAAGATAGATAATAGAAGATAGATAGATAGATAGATAGATAGATAGATAGATAGAGATTGACAAAAAACAGACTGAGATAGATAATAGATGCAGGGTGTCCATAGATTTCGTGTGCAATTCAAAAACATTATAACTTTATTTGTATTTGCGATAGAAATAATCTGTAAAAAATGTTATAAAGTTTAATGTACCCAGTTTTAAGTATAGCTAAAATAACTAATGTGATTTCAGGCATTACTGTAAATCAGTTGGCAAATGTTTTCCGTGGACTGCAAAATCGTATTACCCTTTGTATTGCTAATGATGGGGGACGTGGAAACTTAAATAAAATTTCAATAAAACCTTAAAAAATATAGATTTACTTCTTTCTAATATATACATATATATATATATATTTCTTTTCTTGAATTTTTAATTAATTTAGTGTCTTTGAAACCTTTTTTGGTAAAGTAAACAATAGTCAGGGTTGTCGAATATGAAAGTACATTGTCTTCTTTGTAGTGACTCAAAACCAATCTTGGCCAAAAAGTTACAGTAATTCTCTGAATTTATCTTCATACTATCATTAACTCTAAAAAGATTGCTTACAATACCAACACAAAACATAACTACATTTTTCTAAAGCTGTCTTGTGATTCGTGCTGGGTGACTATTTCTGCAAATAACTTAATCATCCGATATAGCTTTATATTCCGCGCCAAAAAATACTGTTGAGAAAACAGTTTTCATGTATTTCTTCACTTAAATAACACGATTTTCCGTCTAAGGTTGACTTAAATGTTGTAACTTGGTAATTATGACGCCAATGTTCGTAATATTCTTCATCTTTCTTATCTTACACTATTCATATTCACTATTATATTATGATGATAGCAAAAGCGTTAAACCCAGGGTCACAAACTCATATCCATACAACTGAATATGTTAGCTTTATCACTGATATTGAACATTTTTCAATAAGTACTGCACACACTGAGACACACACACACCAAAATTCATGTTAAAAAAATAAAAAAAAAAAACAAATGAAAACTACAGACAAAAGTTCATTTTCTCCATCACGACATTCATTTCTGTAGTTCACTGCTACCAGCAAGCAGAATTTTTTTCTCCTGATGATGGCTATGTTGGCCGAAACTAGTCGAGGAATCTAAATGAAATAATAATAAAAACGAAAGAATATTAATATACAACCCAGTGTGTCTGAAGATTTTAAATTTTTAATATTTTTTATTGTTCAAAATATATATATATATATATATATATATATATATATATATATATATATATATATATATATATATATATATATATATATAAATGAAATAAATGAAATGAATAAATGTTAATCCTTATGGATAATGCCAAACAGGATGTAATCCAGGAGCTCAATGTAAATATAAGCAAATATTAATTAAATTAAAAAGAGATTAAAACCTTTTAAAGTGCCAAGATTATTTCCTCAGAAAATATATTTTTCAAAATTTATATCATAAAATTTTAAATATATATATATATATATATATATATATATATATATATATATATATATATAATGTGTTTCAATTAACTTGAATCTAGTTTTAAATGTAAATTAAGTTTAGGGTCTAAAGATTCATTTTTTTTTTTTTAGATTTGGCGGACATTTTGAATCGATATTATTTTCAATATAATTGCTATGACTTAAATAACAAATGATCCAATAGAGAAATAAATAATTTTTCATCTGATTCATTTTATGCCAGGTTTGATCCGTCTTTAATGAAATATATATATATATATATATTATATATATATATATATATATATATATATATATATATATAATATATACAAAATTTTTAAAGAGAAATATATATATATATATATATATATATATATAATATATATAGATTATTATATATATATATATATAAATATATATATATATAATTTATATTCACTAATCTATTATATTCACTTAAAATATTTATATTCGGTATGCAAATTTTGGTGTAATGTCTAACTAGAACAATTACTGATTGAGTAGTGAGTTCGAAAATTAACTGGGTTGCAATTTAAAAAAATATTTATATATACATCTAATCTACGCTTGGAAAATCACTATGGGTACCTCGAGATCTTGTAAAATATTTTCAATATTGTCTTCCTATGAACATGTAAAAAATCACTATTCGGTCTGTTGTCCTCATCTATGTTGTTGTTATCGCAACGTTTCTGTCCGCGTAGATTTAATAAAGGGTTCACTTCAGAATTCCCTGTAGGTTACCCAGATCGATATATATATCTAAAGAAGGCCGCAGGACAAAACGGCCGAAAAGTGTGTAGTGCAAATAATGATCTTCTCATCCCAGAAATCCTTTTTATTTGTTTTCAAAGCGCAATGCCGATTCTTCAAATATTTTCTTTCTAATTAAACTTTTAATTTTTATCGGTTTCTGTTTGTGGCATTCTCAAAACTCTTTTTGTTCTGTCCTTGCCAGTGTTTTCAATTTCTTTTCTGATTGTTATCTGTTTGATCAGCTTTGTCGAAATTTCAGACGTTGTCCTCCCTCCACTCAGTAACTTTTCAATATCTGGATTCTCTTTAAGACGTTATTGCTTTCTTACGACTCATGGTAACCTTTGTATATACGAGATTTAAAAAATAAATATAAGTAACTATATATTATTTACAAGATGACGAACAGCTAACGAGTTGCATAATAAAATATCACGTCACCAAAAAAGAAATTACAAATAATTTAAAAATATAAAAACAGGTATTATAAATGCTTCAACATTGAATTTTAGATTTTTTCATAAGATTAGTTTGGAAAATTTTTTATAATATATATATATATATATATATATATATATATATATATATATATATATATATATTTATATTTACCATGGCTTAAAAAATAATTTATATTTATAATAATTTCTATCATTAGTGAATAGTTTTTAAATGATCGTCTCTAAATAAAAGTGAACACATTGTCTAAAAATAAAAAATTTTACAAATTTTTAAAAAAACTAAAAAAGCCCCATGTCGAGCATTGAGTAGAATAAAAATGAGTTAAAAACTGGAATTTTTAATTTAATAAACTTTATTCACAAGCTAAGTGTATTTATGTTCTTATTATTTTTCAAATTCAGTTTATTTTGTAATTTTTGTTCATAATTTTAATAATTCAATTATTTCAATATTTTGCACTTTGCTGTATTTCGAATTTATTTTGATTTGCCAATTGTTTACTTTTGAAATTGAACAAAAAATGCAATCTTATTAAAAAGCTTAAGTTGCAAAATATTTAAGGTAAAAAAATAATTTAAGGTAAAATATACGACAACAGAAAAGAAAAGAAAAAACAAGTGATAATCATCTTCATTATCACTTTTTTTCTTTTTTTTTTTTACCATGACTTTAAAAAAAATTATAATTATTTCTATTATTTGTGAATAGTTTCTGAAAGTTTCATTAAAATACGACAATTATTTCTATTTTTGCAAGATTTTAATTAAATTAAATGTCTGTCATTAAAAAAATGCACTAAAATTTGCTGTTATTTAGTAAGTTTTTTTTTTAAATCAAAAGTTAGAATGTTCTAAAGAGGTAGAATTTTTTTTTTAATAATTAAAAAATACTTTGTTCTTTCCTCTTAATAGTAACATAAACATTTTGACGATAAAATTTTGTTTTCATCAAGATTAATGCGGTTTTTATCATGCTATGCTCATTTTCCGGCGATCTCAAGGAGGTTGCAGTAAGTTTATCATAAGTTATATCCTGAAAATTTCAGACATTGGATGATTAAATATCAAATTTATTGTGGAAAAACTTAAATTTGTAATAAAGTCTGATATAGTCTATATATCAGAGTTTCTCAATCGGTGCAAAAATACGCACCAGGGTTCAATAATGCGTCCGGTTGAGAAACACTGGTCTACATAAACCAATCACTTCATATCTATCTAAGATAGATAGATAGATAGATAGATAGATAGATAGAAAAGAGGAAAGAAGGAGCAGATAGATATAAAGGAAGGAAGTAGATAGATAGATAGATAGATAGATAGATAGATAGATAGATAGATAGATAGATGCGTACACGAATTGTAAGCGACTAAATGTGTTGTCCAAACACACCCTCCAAGCCTGACCGACAGACCCAGGCACCCATACCACTCACCCTTTCTCCCGTCGGTCGTTCGGCCTGTATACATCAAGGTTAAACAAGCGACATTGCAAAGTGATTGGTTAACAGCTGCTTTTCTCTTTCTTTCTTTTTTATTTTAATTTTTATATTTTATATTATTTATTTTTCCATCTACGCTTTTCACCCTTTCCATTAATGGCGTTTAGGCCTGAATCGGGTTTTGTTTTT